AAGGTAGCTTGGGGAGGTGCTGCAGGAGGCAGTGTGACCTGGGAGTTGGAAAGCAGGATGCGAGAAGCGTATCCGGAGCTATTTTCATCAGGTAATTTTCGAGGACGAAAATAATTAAAGTGGGGGAGAGTTGTAACACCCATTTTAATTATTTAGTCACTTTATTATTATTTTAAAAATTATATGTTGGTGTGCCCTTTGGTGGGGGTGTATTTGATGATGTTTGGTGGGTGTCCCTAATGTGGGAGGACTATTGGTGATATTTTGGTGTGAAATATAGTAATATAAAAATAATAGTAACATTGGTGGGGGTGTTATTATTATTATTATATTTATTATATTTGTTACTATTATTAATATTATTATTATTTTGGTGAAATAATAATATTAGTATTATTATATTATTATTATATTATTTTTATTAATATTATTATTATTATTGGTGTGATAATATTATTATTATTATAATTATAATTATTGTTGGGTGTATCACTATTATTATTATTATGTTGAATATTACTATAATATTATAATAGTATTATATTATATTATATTATTATTATTATTATAATGATTATTATAATTATTATTATTAGAATTATTATTGGGAATATTAGTGGTTGGAATAAGTAAAATAAGAGGTGAAAGGGTTATTGGGAAGTTAGAATGGAAATATGAAAAGTCACGATAGAAACCGTGAGGAAGGAAATATGAAGGGGTAGCAAGGAGATATTAGAAAAGTTGGAATGGAGAGGAAAGGGATTACCATAGGCGTGGGATATTGGTGTGATAATAATAATAGTATTATTATTATTATTATTATTATTACTATTATTATTATTAGTGTTATTATTATTATTATTATTAAAAGTATTATTATGATTATTGGAGAGATAATAATATTATTATTATTGTTATTATTAATAGTATTATTATTATTAAGATTATTATTATTATCATTATTATTATTATTAGAATTATTATTATTATTATTATTATTATTATTATTATTATTATTATTATTATTATTATTAATATGTGGTATTATTAATATTAGTAAGATTATATTAGTATTATTATTATTATTAAGATTATTAATATTATATTATTTTATTAGTTATTATTATTGGGATTAGAATAATTAAAAAGGGAAATAGAATATGAGGGGTTAGGAGAGTTACGATACATTTTAGAAAATTGAGAAAAAAGAGCGATAGAAAGAGAGAAGAGGAAAGAACGAGGAAAGTGAAAAAGAACGAAGGAAAAAGGGAACGAAGAACGGAAGAGGAAGGAGAAGGCCAAGAGACCAATTCTAGGAGGAATTCTATCGATCGACCAATTGTCAAGGTAAGGGGGGAGAAATTTGATTGGGAATGGTTTATACATGTATAGGGTAGAGGGGATTCCTTAACCCCGTAGGAATTTATCGTTATATAAAGTTTTATATTGGCATGCTATGATTATTGTTGATGTTGGGGGATTGATGAATGCCGATGATGCATTTTGGGGTATATATATATATGGTGATGATGTTACTGTAGTATTGATCCATTTTGTTGGATTGTTGATGTTACTGTAGTGTTGATAGTAACTAGGAATATAAAGCTGATGAGATTATGTGTTGTTACCGTAGTGTTGGCAATGACTGTGATTATAGCTTTGGGAAAAGTTATGTGTTGTTTCCCTATAGCGTCGTTAATGACTATGGTTAGGACCTTGGTGAGATTCAGAGTGACTCTGAAATGTCGGTAATGTACCGTAATGTCGGTTCTAGAGTAGAAATTATAGGATAATTGGTAAGTATAATATCTATTGGCATGTTTGTGATTGTGGATTGATGTTGATGAATTATTGATTTATATGGTGTTGGTGTAATATATCTATACATATGCATTGTTGTATGATGATATGATCAGGAGGATCGTGTGCACTTAGCGTGCCAGAATATAATAATTATGCATTGGTGTCTTGCATATCATGGTGTTTTGGTGGGATGAATCATGTCTCAGGAGGAGCGTAAGTGATTCATCCGTACTCCTTTGTGGAGAATGGTGGGGGATAGATCATGTCTCAGGAGGAGCGTAAGTGATCTATCCAGGTTCGATTGAATGAACCAATGAGTCGGTACCGCATGCATGGTGTTGAGTTGCATAATTGCATTATAATATGTTATATTGTAATTTGAACAGTAGGTTCGTTATATGGTGTTGTTGGGGTGAATAATTGATGTGTTGGTGTGTTTTACTGCCTTATTACATGTATTACATTACCATTATATTTTTGATCATGATTTCTCACCCCTTGTTGTTGTTGTGGTCTGTGCTTCTTCGGAAGTACAGATAATCCAGGTGCTTAGCTAGCTTGGATATTGGTGTGACTGTCGAGTCTAGGATGCTCTGATACGTAGCACGGGACTTGGGCATTTTTATTGTTTCATGTTGAACTCCTATTTTTTTCCTGCGAACGTATCAAAAATTTTATTTAATTGTATTATTTAAATATTCCGCTGTATTTGGAGAAAAACCTTTTTTATAAGGAAACGTGATTTTTATGTGATATCCCACTTGGGAAGGAAACTCTGATTTTTATTATGTTATTCATATTTTATTTGTTTTGGGAAGTGGGGTGTTACAAGATGCACCATTTAATCTTGAGTAGGGGTGGCAAAACGGGTCATGACCCGCTGAGTCGGCCCGCGCACCCATAAAAGAAATGGCGGGTTGGATTGGGATTTTGGGCCCGTCGCCCACCAAAATCCGCTCCGCTAAAGACCACCACCCACCAAAACCCACTGCCCACGAAAGTCCGCCGCACCTATACGTTCAGCTTGTCTCACCTTAAATCCGTCATTTTTTAGTTAATTCTAGTAATTTCAATTCTTGATGGTTTTATTTTATACATTTATTTGACAATATATGCAATATTTTTTTGAAGTAAAATTTGTTAAAAAGATGGTTTATAAAAATTGTTCTAAAATATAAATGAAAAATCTAATTGAAATGTAAAAACAAGCCTATTAATCTATTAAAAAATGAAGAAAAAAATGTACGCGGGAAAGTCAGTCAACCCGCCACCTTAGTAGAGCGAGTTAGATTTTTATGCACATTTTCATTTGGCGGACTTGCCCACTCGGTCTTCTTCCACCTCTAACCTTGAATATGCATGGCGATTGTCAAAAGATGAACCTAAATGGATGAGAGCATCCACTAAAAATTCTTCAAAAAGAACAAAAAATTTTACTAGTGGGCATACACACCATCGCCTAACCTAGAGACACTTTCAAATTATGAGTATAACTCATTATCTTCAATGGAGCGTCCAAATGGACAAAAGGCATCAAAACAAAAGGGTAAAGGCAACAAGTTCGTGAAAAACAAATTTATCGAAAAGTTCAAGCATATTTAGTATAGTATATTAGAGAACTTTTTGGACATGAGGATGGCAAAATTTAAATTTCACTAATTATATAATGATTTTTTATTGTTTTAATTTTAATTATTTATAAAATTTAAGTTTAATTTAATTTATTTATTAATTTTATTTTATATTAATATTAATTCAAATAACTTAAATAAATGTTTTAAGTTAAAGTAAAATTTAATATAAATAAATTATTAATATATGAGATAAAATTGTAAGATTTAATATAGGTTTTTTAGTGTTGTACCATTAGAGTTAAAATTAGATGAGTTGAGTCAAAATAACATGTCTTAATGGATTATATAAAATAAAAAACTATAAATAGGTTGCACCATTATAAATACTTTAAAGTTGAAACAATAAATCTAAACACCTCAAAGTCACACTAGTCATTAAATTACAAAACATAGTCAAAAACATATTTAACTCTCCGCGTAGACCATTTCACTCTAAGATCTAAACAAACAAAAAATCTAGTAGTTAGTATAGTTTGTGAATTGAGTGGCTTGAATAGATTTTGAGTTAGTGGTAGGTTTATTCTTTCCTTCTTTAGGGTGTTCTCTCACCCTTATAAAAAATCACGATTATTACTATCGTACAAAAATTCATCTCTAAACGCATTTAAAATTACATCAATAAAAACGTTGCAACTTACAAGTGACACACTTTTATTTTTGTTCAAGAAAATGTCTGAAGATATATTATAGGTCTCTTCGATATTCTCTTCTACTACTATTTTATCTAGTGTAAGTCTTGCACTATATATTGGATTTGCTACCCCTATATGTTCTACAGTATCATACCTATTGTGGTGGCATGGTTTTCTAGAGAAAAAAAATTAACCAATCTTCAAAGTTTGACCCACCTACTCCCGATCTCAGTTTTACAACATCCTCGTACCGAAATCCATTCATGAATGAACCGGTTCCAAATGCATGAAAGACATGCACGAAAGACAACACTTTACAAAAATGCATCTCTAAATATTTATTTTTTTGGAACAAAATGAAATGAATCCAAAAAAACAAAGTGATGCATCCGAAGATATGATAGACTCCCTAAAAGATGAAAAGAGCATTCCTCTTATCCAAAACACTATTCTTTTGAACGGATTTTCATTTTTGAAAATCATGTTTAACCATTAACCCAATCTAACCCAATTTTTTTTAATTGGTTTGGATCAATTTGGCCGGATTTGATTGATTTATCCAACCCATCTACATTCCTATAATTATGAATTAGGAGAATTGAAAACAAAGGGATTACACCAAGTATAAAGGTTTGTCTTCCACATATAATATAATTCTGATACATATGATCCAAAGGCAGAAGAAAGATGCACAAAATCCATAACTAAAGACAATAAAACAAACAAAAAACAAGATTTGGAAGCTAATTCCCTTATCTTTTGTTTCATTTAATGCAGTGCACATGACACCTGTTTCAGTTTTTTAAGAACCCCTGAATCTGTTGGAATAAATAACTCTGGTACCACAGCTTCCATATCTCTGTTCCTAGTTGCTAGATTTTGTTTTATTCTCATTATAACACAGAAGAAGTTGCAAACTATTCCAAACATGTTACTCCACAACATTAACAAGTTCATATTCAATAAGGGAGAGGTTGTTGTCTTCCTTAACAGTGAAATCAGCAGGTTCTGTTACTTCGACACGGCCCCATTTGTCCACAGCAAGCCTCATTGATCCTTTAAACATGTCGATTTTTGCATTTCGCAAAATGATGGTTGAACCCTCTTTCAGCAGATCCACTGAACAAAAGAAACAGTCAAGAAAGTTATTAACATTTACACATTTGAACATTCTCAGCAATTTTACTGAACATGGATGGGACTCTGAGACACTAAGAAAACTCAAATCATTTGTTCAATATGGATGCAAATCAACACGATCGTTTCCTTAAAGGATATAAACTCAACATCAATTCGTATAGATGTAAACTAAGATAACAATGCTACTTTAAAATGATAAGAGAACATAGCACAAAAAATAAAACATATTGCACATTTGTCCTTGCAAATTACATATTATAATTATATCACATATTGCAGTTTGAAAAAAGCCAAGCCTATAAATTTCAAAAACAGGTGATGCAATCACTGCATGGGTGGTGATGCCACTGAAACAGCTGTGAATCACCATTTCATAGTGATACTACTGAAACAATAACAACACAACATTCTGTTCTATGCTAGTAGCTAGCTTCCTCTTTTTTCTTTTATTAGCTTTATCCATTTACATAAATATGTCATATCTCCTACAGTTACTAAATCATGTTCTTCAAAAGCATTTCAACAAAGAATAATATCATGTAAAAAATTAGGTCTGTCAATTGTCAACATTGTGCTGGAAGGTGACACAAAGGATATAGAAAAACAAATTCATTTTGCAAGTTCTATTTTTTTTCAGAGATGTTCGTCAAGTCACACTATCACCCGCAATTATGGATACATAGTACATAGTAATTAAACATTTTATGGTATGGGAAGGAGAAAATTTGTGTTTATACATATACACAAGGGCATAGAGTTTTTGTCTAACAAAAATTTGACACATGGAACAAATGGACATCATTTTAAAACCAGAAAATACAAGACCTGAAAGTGAAAACTAGTTAATTTGGCAGAAATTTTCCTATGAGTAATGAGAAACATTTATCTTCTTTGTGAATGTCATTACTGGCATTACATGGAAATATGACATTGGCGCCGCAATGCAAGTTAGGTTAAGAATTAAGACATCAATGAATAAGATATGTTTTGAATGAACGTATTCAAAGAAAAAAGGTAGAGTTTAATCCAGTTGGGTTGAGCATGAGAATAGACCAATCAAAGTAAGATTTTGAATTTAAATGGTTTGTAATTTGATATAAGTATTATGGCATCACTCCCGGGAAAAAGCTATGACTGTTGTCTAAGAGCATTTGAACCTATCCTACATTTTCACTGTTGAACCATTCTAAGCCCCTTGTTTGGAACCACGTTTAAACTCTTCAAAATCAATTTTGGAAGGGTGAAAGGCAGTTTTTGACCCAAAAGTAGTGTTTGGCTTTTATCAATGAAAACAATTTAGCTTCAATATCAAGTTTACGCTAAAGATGCAATTCCTAGCTTCTGCGACTCACTGAAATCAATTCTCGACACACCCTTGAGTGAGTTACACTGATGTAAACCTTGAGTGAATTACACTGATGCAATGTTTAAAAACTCGAGAGTTTCTACTACAGCTGAAAAAATATATTTTTATATGTATAATTACATACAGCAGCGAGTCGGTGTCTACGGGAATTTAGCAAAAGAAAAAAGCTTGCTTGAATGTGAAAAAGAAAGAAGAAGCTTGAAGGTGAAAGAGAAAAGACAAAGTGATTATGTATAAATAACTTGTTAAAGAGGAAGAGGAAGCTTGAATGAGAGAAAGGGAATTTATTTTGCAATAATTTCTCAAAAGTAACTTTGATCCATTCCATGATACATAAGTTTTTCTTGAAAAAATAGAATGTTTTAATGGTGTCTATACACGTTCCTAATTAATAAAAATAAAATAAATCAGCATTTAATACTAATAAATGACCCGACCCGACCCAATTCACATAATTAAGGCTTTCTTCTAAATAAAACCCTTAGAATCTGAAGCGCCACCTCTTAAAGTCTGGAACCAGTCAACTTTTTGAACTCGGACGAGTATACCGAGTTTGACTAACCGAGTTCGTCGCCGAGTCAGCATGTCAGCATGGGCTTGGGACGTAAACTCGTCAGTTTTTGCAAATCAACTCGCGATTCTACTTACACTGACCAATGTTTGACAAAGAGGAAGCCAATGGTGTAGTTTTACATAACACACCCAATCTATACTTTTTCCTTTTTTATTCATTTCATTATTATCATTAATCCGTCATGTTACTTATATTGTTAACATGTTGATTTATTTAATACACTTGATTAATATTTATCCTCATGCTCTATTGTTATGTTTGCTATTTATTTATATAGAAAAAAGATTATGCACTGACAGTGTAAAATATTTTTACACTATCAATCTGGCAGGGACGTGTATCCCACCAAATCACACGTTTAATTTTAAAATACTTACATGACATGGAAGAATGTTATACTTCTATTGGATGGTGTAAAACTAGTTTACAATCCTTATTTTCTTATTTATAATTCTAATTGTTACGTTTGCCTACGTAGATTTAGCATAGACACATAGTTTTCTTATTACCACAAAATGTTCTTACCAGTTAAGTATACACATTTTGTAAGACAAAACTCACTTTGATAATTATATATCCAAAAGCTATGTTGATCCACATATCACTTCCCAATCAATTCCCTTTTTAACCATAACCAATTTTACAAAATCAATTTGATCTAAATCAAATTGTCAACGTTAAACCAATCATACACTAAGTGTGTCAGCATGCTGAACCGGAGGTAAACACGCATGGTGAAACTCGGTATATTCGCCCGAGTTAAAGTTGTGACTCGTCTTCCATTCTGCAAGGCGGCACTTCTGTTATAAGTTTTCTTTTTTAAAACCCTAATTTTCTAAAATGGGCCTGGATCGGGTCTGGTTTCATGCAATACTGATTTATTATTATTTTTCTAAATAGGAATTCATAAAGACACGGTAAAAATTTCTCTTTTTCAAGAGAAACGCATCCTATCACTTAACTATTCATAAAGACACATTCTCTTTCTTCCATTACTTCTTCCTCCTTGACATTCAAGCTTCTTCTTCCTCATTAACAAATTAGTTATAAACAGAATTACTTCTCTTTTCTCTTTCCCATTCAAACTTCTTCCTCTTTCACATTCAAGCTTTCTTTTTCATTGAATTCTCTTTCATTCAACAAGACGTTGTCGTCAACGATGCCGACCCGCGCTACAGTGCTCTTCTATCTGTAGTAGGATTTTACGATCCATGCTACGATCCTCAAGTTACAATTTTTGAATCATCTACTGATTCTGCGTAAACTCTCGAGTTTTTAAACATTGGCGTAAACATAAATTATTTTCACAGGATATGCTAAATTTAAAATGGAAAAAATACTTAGTAATGGTTGGCCGAGGCGGCATTATTACAATCCTAATTGACACCCACAATTCCCGAATTTTCTTTGAACAATTGATAATTGCTTTTCATTTTTTTAACAAAATCCTGGAGTAAAGACAACAACAGAAAAAACTATCAACAATTTAAATTCAATTTGAGAATTTTCGATGGCAATTGGGACAGTAATTGTGTCAATTGCCATCCTAAGTTAGCACTTTTTTTCTATTTGATAATTAATATGATAGTGGGAAAAAGACTAACATGTACCCACTTCGACAAAATAAATGACAAAAATGGATCTTAGAAAAGAAAAAGGACCAAAATGAATCTCAGGTAAAAAATGCAGAACATGAATCTTGGTGATAGGAAAGAAGGCCAGAACATGAATCTGAGTGAACCACTTAGAAAAATGTAGTTGTTTTCAAACTTTTGCAGTTTTTTCTACAATAACTTGAAGCAAAATCTAGAATAAAAAAATTTATGATTGCAAAAGCCTCGGGAAAGGGCACGTCCGTATAACTTTATCTTTTACATCAGGCCAGTTCAGCTCTTCATTACACAAATAGGAGCGAAAACATCTAATAAATGTTTGTTTTATTAAAAATATGATCGCAAAGGTTTGACATGAATGACATTGGTGTTCGAAAATGTTGCATGAAAGAATCGGATACTTTTTAGTCAACAACCAAAGTAGTTACCAAAACAGAACATTGACTCGGTTAAAAAAGGGAACCCACTTTATTGAAGGCAGAATCACTGGAAAGAGAATTCTCGGCTTTCTTTGTTTGTCGTTTAGTTAATCAATAAAATGTTTTGTTTCTATAGCTCTCTTCTCTGTTTCTCAGCTATTTCTCTCCAAAACCCCGATTTTATTTGGCATTTGTAACAACGTGCGGAGTAACTGAACTAGAAATTTAGATGTCTTCATGTCTTGTATAGCATTTATTAACTATGATTATAATTTGTCGCTATTGCATGGACAATACGAGACCGCAATTAATGAACATAGTAACTAACTAACACATACGCTAGGTGCCGACAAAACTGACAATCAAACAAGTTTGATTCATAATATCCCAAGATAAACAAACATATTAATGTATGAGAAAATATCAAATTTAATAAAATGATTGCAAAACTGGGACAATACCATAGCAATAACAAGCATACCTTGATCATTTCGAGCAGTAAATATGATCATCCCCGTCTCATCGCCCACCAAACTCTCAGCAATTCTCATTTGGCGCGGTTGAGGACCATCCGGACGACCCTTCTGCATCACCATCTTAGTATTCACCACCTTCACAGTCAGAGTGTGGCCACTAGTCCCCGGTCGAAGCTGTTCAACCTTGGTGAAAACCGGCTTTCTCAATCCAGGTTTTGCCTCTGCCATATCTTAATCTAAAACCCTACAACAACACAAATATCACAACTATGCTCCACTACGATACAAATCAAGTGCAGAAAACAAACATGCATCCATTACATGAAACAATATCATGTTTCATCAATTGAGTCAGTCCTTCACCAACAAAACAAACCATGATACAAATCTATTAGTTTTTCACCGTTTGATATTGATAATTGACGCAAAAAAAAAGTACAACAATATAAAGGAACCAAAATTAGGTTAAGATTTTGTTTCTTTTTGTATAAAAACATTTTGATCAGTGTGAAGTACTAGAAGTAAAGCAAGCTGAATTAACATCATCAGTGGCATGTGAAAATCAAGGTAGCGTGAGAATAAAGGGATGAAAAATTGGATAGAATTGAAAAGATTAGGAATCGAAATCTGACCTGAAATTGCAAAGGCAAAAATGAAAAGCGAGATCTGAAACGAAAAACGTAGCCGTCGAGGTTAGCTTTTAAGGCAGGTAGATGTTCGTGTTCACAGATGTCGGGTCAAATATTGACATGCCCCGACCCAACATCTTTCGTGTAAATAAATGACCCAACAATATATTGTTTTTGCATTTTGTATAATATATTAGCCTCAAGTTATAAAAAAAAAATACAATGTTTAATGTTTTTATTAACATTTAAATTAAGTTTAATACATGTTTTAGTTCTTTAATTTAATATGTTATGTTTTAGTTGATTAACTTAAAAACGTTACAAGTTAGTCATTTAACTTCACTTCTATTATTCTATCAATTTTTAACAAAAAAAACATTAAGTTCTTGTGACGTGTCGTGACAGCAAAACTGATACACTGATTAAACTACAGGATTCTTCAAAAGATAAAAATCTCGCAGTGTTAATAGTGTATCAGTTTTTAACTACGTATGTTGACTCAGATTTGTATCTATAGTCTTCCTATCATACCACGTCACTAGAACCGTTTTTTTTTTTTTGTCAGAAATTGACAGAATGGACCAATAAGATTATAGAAGTGAAGTAAAGGGAATAACTTGTAATATTTTTTAGTTAAGAAACTAAAGTGAAACATTAAATTAAAGGATTTAGTGACTAATTATACCTTTAAATTACATATCTCATGATAAATTTTGAGATAATATTAATAATTCTCAAGTTAGTGAAATATTATAGAGGATTAAGGAGAATAATCAAACAAAGAAAATTTGTAATAGCATTGGAGCTTTATCGTAGAATATTAGACAATACACTTATTTTTATTTTATTTTAAATTAATATAATTAAATTCAAATTTGAAATGGTATTATTTCATGTTTCTTAATTAATAGTTATTTCTCTGTCATCAACGGCCAACTATCCGTTATTTCAAATTACTTCATTGAAATAAGACTCTTTGAAAGAAGTTGAATTCTCATACATATTTATAATTGTACTTGTTAAATTTGAACTCATTCATTTTGACATATGAAGACCCTTCTCTATTAGTTTTGTTCATGATCATAAATATTTTCTAACTACAGTAAATGATTACAGTAAATTTATATAGATAACTTACTTAAATCTAAGTGTTAAGTATCCCTTCATGTTCAAATTTTTATTGATATCATACATACTCAATACCCCTATTATTCTTACGACCATTATGACAGATAATGACCATACATTTTTACTTAATAGATTATATGAGTCTAAGGGTATAATCCATCAAAACTTTTATGTTAAAACTCCCTAATAAATTGAAAAAGTTTAGGGTAAACAGTGATATATCCTGAATGTATGTATAGCACTCATTTATCAATCAAAACTACCTAAAGAATTTTGGTCTCATTACAATGAATAAGTGATTTTACCTTAACTGAAAAAGAGATTTTGCATCAGTTTCGAGGGCGATGTAAAGAAGTGTGTCATGAAAAGTGCATCATTTTTTCTCTCACGTTAACTGTCAATCGAGAGAAAAAAGAGAATTGGTCATGGTTTCGATCCTCAACAACCTTTGTTTTTAAATTAATTTTTTAATTTTACTGAATTGTCATTTTATCCTATGTTTTCTTAACATAACATAAATTAACTTAAATATAATAAACAGATTTTGAAAACATGACCTAAACAGAACAAATGACCCTTATATATGTACCAAAATCATAAGTTATTCATACCAAAGCTTAAATGGCACACACGCACATTCTCTTTTTATAACAAAATTAAAACATATACAAATAATTAACCAACAAAGTCAAAAATCAAAGTGCAAATTCTTGAACAGATGTTATAAAGTCTTCATTTGTGAAAGGTATTTGATCGTTAAACACCTATAATTTAAAAGACATTTGAAAACAATTAGGATAACACAACAATAACATTAAATAAAACAACAACATTAACCATTTAATCTCAATAAATGGATGTCACAAATAAACATTTATATAACTTACTTTAGGGGTAATAAATCACTGTCTTTTACTTTTAAAATCGTGCAATATATGATATTTGTTCAAATCTCTCTCTCTCTCTCTCTCTCTCTCTCTCTCTCTTAAAAAATATTCAAAAGTAAAGTGAATATTTTAGTGTTATAAATATATATTACTAAGTCATGTAAAATACTTGTTGGTTTTCTCATATTCCTTTTTTATTCAGATAACATGTACATTATCTGGATCATTTTCTTCATATGAGATACGTATGTGTGTTATGAATGAGGGATATAAGAAATATCAAGAGTTAAATCTTGATTTTCATCACTATCAGAAATATATTTTCCTTATAAATGACCATCTATTGTTAGAAGAATCGGTGACATAAAAAAAATTTTGGGATGCCATAATGAGTGGTTTATTCATATAAGTTGTCTTACGGTGGTCAACTTGTGTGAATCATAATTCATTATTTTACATCAGTGTTATTGTCAATCCATTTGCACTTAAATAAAGACACTTTAAATATAACATAATCAATCTCCCCAAATATCCTCAATGACCCCAAAGTAAGATTTATATGCTATTACAGAATTCTAATATTTGGAACTAGAGAAGTATATGGATTTAGCATCAATTATAACCCCTCCCTCCATTTTTTATGGTACTACAATCATCCAAATATTTTTCTCCATGCTATGGTACTAAATAATATAATAAAAAATATTATTCTATTATTTAAAAAAATAATAATATATTATGCTTTTAACAAAAAAAATAATATATATTCTATTTTTAAAGATTAATATATTTTGCTTATAATGTATTCTGTTTTTATAAAAGTAAAAAATAATAATATTTGGTTCTTTTTAAAAAAATATTATACTATTTTATTTTTTAAAAATATATAATATATTATGTTTTTAATTTATACATATATAATATTATGTTTTTAATTATATATTATAAAAATAAAAATAAAATTATAATATATTATGTTTTTAATAAAAATAAAAATAAACAATATATTTTATTTTTAATAAAAATATAATATATTCTATTTTTAAATAAAAATATATTCTGTTAATAATAAAAATATAATAAATTTTGTTTTTAGTATATCTATGTATTTTATTTTACTGATATATTAGAAAAATAAAAAAAAATATTTTCAAATTTATTAAATTAATATTTTATATTTTCAAATTAATAAAATTTATATATTAAAAATTAGGAAAAAAACCTAAATTTGAATTGATAAACCTAATAATATATCTTTTCGTATTAATAAACCTAATAAATTATATGCCCATATAAATAACTCTAAAAAACAAATCTAAAAAAAACAGCAACAACCCAATAATATTTGCATATGAATTTCTGAAAAAATAAATAAAAACATAATTGCCAAAATACCACAATGAAACAACAAAATAATTTTTTGGAGATACAACTTCTTGAATGAATTTGTCATTAAAACCATTAGTTGTTCATACCAAAGCTAAAATGGTACACACGTACATTCTCTTTTTATAATAAAACTAAAATATATGTTAAGTTACAAGCTTTATGCACATTGAAATGAAGAAGAAGAAAGGATTGAGAAAGTAAGATTGTGCAATGTGAATATTTCTCATCATCATCATCAACATTTACAATATGGAAAGTTGCTTATATGGCAAGCAAAGCTAGCAACATACATTAATTAATTCATATCTAACTGAAAAGTTAGTTACAAGTAGTTGCAAGTGGTTATATTACATTGGTTATATCTTTGTGATCATTACACTTATCATGATGTTCAACAGCCCGCCTCAAGCTAGAATGGATGTTGATCATTCCTAGCTTGGCTTAAAGACTTGAGAAAGGACACGGGTGGAGAGATTTTGTGAGAATGTCAGCAACTTGCTCTTTAGAGGTGACTGGCATGAGATGAACTATGTGTGCCAACACGTTATCACGCACCACATGATAATCAATCTCTATATGCTTGGTTCTTTCGTGGAAAACCGGGTTTGCTGCAATGTGCATGGCTGACTTGTTGTCACAATAGAGAATGAAAGGAAGAGGATGTGCAACCTTGAAATCAGCAAGTAAGGAGAATAGTCATATGCCTTCACAAGCAGCATGAGTTGATGCATGATATTCACCATCTGAAGAAGAGCGAGAAACCACAACTTGATTTTTACTCTTCCAGCTGATAAGGGATTTTCCTAGGAAGAAACAAAAGCCAGTGTTGGATCTTCTAGAACTTGGGCAAACACCACAGTCAGAATCGGAAAAAACCTTGATGCAAATGGTGCTTGAAGTGCTGAAGAGTAAGCCTTGGCCAGATTCATTTTTAAGAAATCGAAGAACATGAAGTCCAGCTAGCATATGTTGATCAGTTAGGGCATTTAGAAACTGACTGAGTTTGCTTGCTGCATAAGCAATGTCAGGTTGAGAGTGAGTGAGGTATAATAGTCAACCAATGAGCCTACAATAGGCAGTTTAATCAGAGATAGGATTGCCAAGATTGGAGTGAAGTTGTAAATGAGGTTGCATTGATGTGCTGCATGGCTTAGCTCCAATAAGACCTGCATCATTGATGAGATCTAGGGCATAT